CAGCCTGCCTGGCTGTTTGTGTCAGCCATCAGGTCATAAGTTGCCGGAGACAACCTGCAAACGACACATGTCCGGGTTGGAGTTGGTTTGTTCATCTCGACAGTGAATTCATCCAGCCAGCAGGTTACAAGCGTGTTAGCTACCGAGGTAATTGCATCTGTTGAATTGTATCTAGCAGTCTGGCTGGCCCATGAAGCTTGCCAGCGTGACAATTAAATCCTGTTTCTGTTTGGGGATGTTGAACACTGCAGCACAGCCCTGGAGAAAGACCAAATGTACAAATGTGTTGTGGCTGCTTTCTATAGCCTCCTCTGGTCAGGCAGCGAAGATCTTTAGACGCTGAACGCTAAACTTGAACGAATCGTCTCTAGAGGGGCTCCTTTCTTTATTCTCCAAAAGGTCTGGTCAGGCAGTGAAGCCCTAAACCCTAAAAACAGCGTCTCTACTGGGAGGTCGGCGTGCTCAGCGGCAAAATTGAAGAGACCGAGGCTGGCTGACTCAGAGGTCTTGGCTGTCGGCTTATCGGTAGTCAGTCGCCAGGCATCTAAGGTTTGGGAACTCCTGTTTAGCGCAGTAGCAGTTACCGGTGCATAGTTCGGAAAGTGTGAGGATGGGCTTTGATATTGTTGACATATACTGGCAAGATTAAGGAACTATGCGGATGTGAGCACGCTCATGCCGATCCGGGCACATGTAATCTGAAGGGTCGTTAGAACACCCTATATCAACTACCATATAAAACCCAGAAAACCCCAAACATAGTAAGACCCGCCCCATGCAACAACATAAATCCCAAAGTCCTGCCTGTGGAGCGGAGAAGATCAACAGCACCCGTGACAATCCCCTGAACACTGAACGCTGCTAAGCCCTGAAACTCTATACCCTGAGCCCTCAGCCTTAAATTTGAGAACAAACCTCAGCCCTGAGCCCTGCAAGTCCTATAAGGTTTTGGGTTTTAGGGTTTAGGGTTTACTAAACCCGAAGCAGGAGAAGATCAACATGGGAAATGCGCAGCTGGCGAAGATGAGGCCTGCCCTTACCCGCGCAAAGAGCAGCAGAAGTGGGTTCCTACTGTTGATGATATGAACCCTGCATTACTCATAATAAGGAATATACCATAATTCCCATAGTTTAGGGTCCTTAAGGTAATGCAGGATTTCTATCATCAACCGTATCAAGGTTCCCTCTACGGGTTTCATCAAGGCTTCCTTCAGAGTCTGATTTGCGGGTTCTCCTTAGGGATTCTTTTGAGTGCTCCATCGGGTTTTTATAGGTTAGCTTTCATTTTTATAAGAGTTCCTCTACTGATTCCAAAGGGCTCAAAGCGCGATTACAGGGATTCAAAGTTTCTGGGCCCCGCAGCAGTATGATGCCTCTTTGGTTTTCGGTTCACAGCAGGACAAGTGCGTTGGTGTGTTTAGGGTTTATAGCTCTTTGGTTTGTTAAGGGGCTACCGGGCAAACTGGGCTTTGGGGTGAAGATTCAGGATTTAGGATTTTAGCTTAGAAGCTGCACAGCAAGTAAGGGTTGTCGACACCAAATATTCGCTCATGAACCCTACAGCCTCAACCCCAAAGCCTACGGGCCACGGGGTATGGTTGGAAGGAGTCGGGGACTGGGGAAGCAGTTTTTGGACAGCATGTAAGCAGGACGGCATCGATGGCACAATGAGCATCCCCTTCAACGCATTCCTAGCTCTATCTCTGCCAATCGCATACTTTATCAGTCCCCCGCCCCCTTGAGTAGGTACGTACGGGTCATAAAAAGGGTTTGGAGAATTAGACCGGAGGTGAGGAGATTGCAGCTCCCGTAGTGCAAGATCATTGAGTGTTGGTTTTGGGTTTTATGAGGCGAGGAGCTTACAGTCTGGAGCTTGCTGTTTGCATGTTTTGCTTGGGTTTGGGTAAGTGGAGCTTCTACACTTGTCTCTCCCGAGGCACATGGGTGGTTGTCAAAAAAGTGACCCCGTTTCGGGTCCCTATTATAGTACGGCACCTAATATTTAGGGTACCCTAATTTTGACAACCACCTACATGTTGTGTGAAGCTGAACTGCATGTCCAGAGTCAATGACAGTCAGGGGGCTACCAGAGGAGGGGTGATTCAATAAGCAGCTGCAGGTTGAAGGCGCGGGGCGCTCCTCTCAAACCCTAAATCCCTAAGCCCTTCAACCCTAAATCCCGAAATCCTTAAACCAAACATCCTACATCCCTAAACACTACTAAACTCCAATTCCCTAAACCCTAAACAGTCCTAAACCCCTTTCTGCGCCACTTTCTTTGGCTTGAACTTTCCTCCGCGGAAGTGGGGCACTCCTCGGCTGCATCTCGGCGGCAGATGGTCAACTGGACCGATTTTCGGGATTCGGGATTTTTAAGGATTTAGGGTTTAGAGGTACCCTAAACTAAACCCCTGTAAAGTATAAAATTAATATACATAAACCCTATAAACCCTTGCCCCTTATAAAGCCCTAAACCCCTACAAATCATACCCAAACCCTTATCCCTTTCTCGGGATTTGGAGTTCAGGCCATGCCATCGAGAGTTCGGGCTTAGGATGTAAATTGAACGTCTGACGGACCACGATTTATCAGGATTGCCTGTAGCCGAAAAAGCGCGTTCCCGAGTAAGGTTTCTATATCCTTATAAACCATGCAGGATTTTGGCGCCACAGGTGAGGTAAAGAGTTGGGAGCTAGAGTTTTGTGGGTTGGGCGTCAAAATGGGTCAAGGGTCTTGGGGTGCGGGGCGGGGGCCATCAGTCGGGAAATTGGCATTCGGCTTTAGGTTTTACAGCCATGGGCAAAGGGTACGCATGCTTGGGCTGATGCATGGGTGCTGGCTTAGAGGCTTTCCACGTCAGCTTCAGGGGAGTGCATATCCTGCGGCTTGAGCCCTAAACCCTGCACTCTAAATTCAACTCTCCGAGTCAAAGCTCTTCAATTACAGGCTCTAGACGCTAAGTCTCTCAAACCTTGCATTAAATGGCTGCTGTTAACTGATGTAGTAGCTTCGGACTTTTGACTTTTATGTTAAGCCCCAGATTTCAAAGCCCCTGGCAACGCCCTTACAAAGCGCTTGCAGGAACCCGTATACATCCAGACATTCCAAAACCCCTTAATTAAGGAATATACCTTAAATCATATTAAGGATCCTACTATAATTTAAGGTATATTCCTTAATTAAGGGATTTTGGAAGGTCTGGGCATCCCGAACCCTACCTTTTTTTGTTCAAGGTTGGGGTTCTTCAGCTCCTCTTGCCCAGCAGTCGAGGCCTTCAGCCCCTGGCATCGAAGGCCGATGCTTTGGGATCGAGGGTTCGGCTTAGGGGGAACATTCGTTAAGCAATAAGGGGGATCCTGTGTGTGATATAAATATAAATGCTAGTTGCTTGCTAGATACGTCTCGTGTTTCGGGGAGTAATGTAGGAACCTGATCAAGATACCTTGGGCCTTTATTAGGGTTCTAGATATGGATCCTACTATTTTGGGGTTATAGGCGCAGGGCTTCTTAATCAGGTTCCTACATTAGGAAGCCGGGAATTTCAGATAAGCGCCCACGGTCCTCAGGTTCGCGGTTCAGCCGTTAGCCGCCGTGGGTTTACCCATGGGCCCCATAGTAGTTCATGTCGGGGATTACCTTCTAGGATTCTCAACCCCCAAAAAGGAACTACTATGGGGCCTATGGGCAGGCATTTGGGAGTAACAGCAATGGCCACTCTTCGGGCAGGGTTTCTGGCGTTGAGGTGATTTGGATTTGTGTTTCTGTTCTCTTGACAGTTTATTCGCACGACACTGAGGACAACATAGTTGCTTAGGGGGGCCAAGGATGAGGGGTAGGAAATTCTAAGTCTGTGAGGATTACTGACTCGGGTGTAGGAGTTCCCTAAACCCCATTCTTCCGAATCCTCCCCTAAACCACCAAGCCCTTAAAACGACACCCCTAAAAACCCTAAAACCCCTAAACCCCTAAAGCCCCTAAACCCTTTTAAAACCCCAAAGCCAGAAAGCTCCTAAAACCCCCAAAGCTCAGAGAAAAAAACATCTCTGGGCCAGGCGATGGCTGCGGATGATGCGAGGAGATCTCCCGAGGACTTCCCTAGCAGAGACCCAAAGGCTCCATGTACCTTTATACTTACCGTTGGTTAGTAGGGAATGGAGGAGCGGGGCACGAGTATAACTACTATTACTACCATTCTTCCATTCCCTACTAACCAAAGGTAAGTATAGTAGATACTTGAGCCTTAAAGGGATCCCTATGTAGGTACTTTAAGGCCTGAGTATATACCACATGGGCACATGAAGTAGACCCACAGTGATGCTCAAGCTGGGTTTCTGGTTGCAGGGTGCAGGGCGCAGGATTTACCTGGACCCTCAAAAACCCTGCCTTTTTTGAGGACTTATGTAAGGAAATCATAAAAATAGGGAGCCCTCAAAAGGTAGCTTCTTCAGGGTCCAGGTAGGCCTACATGAGGCTAAGGGTCGGGTGTCGGGGTGTTTGAGTGTGTGCCTGTCGAAGGTTACAGGATGTTCGGGTCTAGGTTTGGTTCTTGTTGTGTTTGGTGCCAAGGGTTTCAGGATCTTAGGGTCTAGGTTTAGCGTTCAGGGTTTGGGGTTTAGATTTGAGGGTTTTTTTTTTGGGGGGGGGCCCCTGGGTTCGGTTATTAGGGTTGTGCAGTTTAGTGTAGTGGATGGTTTCCGGTGTCAGGGTCCGCTGCCTTTCAGGGTTTAAGGTTTTTGGGACGAGATTTCCGGAGATGGTCAGAACCGCCACGAAACACGATCATAACGGCCAGCACTGTTTATTACTGAGGGCGTGCTGAGCTTGACAACCTGGCCGTGTTCTATCGCATCTTATTCTGTGTACTCCAGACCCCAAGCCCCATGAAATCGGAAACCAAATAACCAATCCAGAGCCCTCATAAGAGCAAAAAACAGACCCGCCCGCAGCCTGGCCCAATCTCTTCCGATTACGAATTCCGTAGCGCCGTTGCAGCGATAGCGATGCGTGCAGTTGCCCTGCTGCAAGCGGCCGTCGTACCTTGACTCGGAGGGTGTAGCGTTTCGCGGGCGAGTTTACGGTTCAGGGCTTTGGATTTAGAGGTTTAGGGGGACACTGCTGATAGATAAGATCCCACAGTCGTCCCCATCACGAGGTATACCGGAATTCTCATAATTAGTTCTTCTCCTGTAGCTCCGCACCCTACAAAAGAAGAAGATTATGAAACCATAAGACTACTCCTTGTATCATGGTTCTGCATGTCAGGGCTTTGAAGAATGGTACAGCTATGATGACGGTTGGACGATGATAACCAGGGAGTTGATGAAGTGCTGTTCTTGTTGATGTTGATGATAACCCGAAAGCTGAAACAGAGCCTCCAAAACTCGCTCATGCAGGTTAATCGTATGGGTCCTAGAATCACTGCAGGGGCTTTGGGGTTCGCACTAATCAACTAAGGATGCCTGATGTCATAGTAGGCTTCCTATAGGTTAGGGGATGCTCCGTACCTAAACCTTTGGGGGTGGCACGACGACAACATCGAGATGAAGAGGCGATAATGATGGCACTGATGACTACGACGAAATTGCAGAGAGTGCGGTGCGGAGACACTAAGCATTAGAGAGTACACCAGCAGATCTCTGTTGTCTGTAACCCACCGGATCCATGTAACATACACAGTATATGTTTTGGCATAAAGAGGGCTTCTAGTACCTTGAGCCAAAGTACAGTAAACACTGCATGGGTACAGGAGTACCTCTAGGACCCCGTTTCGGTTCCGCATCAGGGCTTCTAGTACCTTGAGAGCCAACGTAAAGTACAGTATACAATGCATGGCTACAGGAGTACCTCTAGGACCCCGTTTCGGTTCCGCACAAGGGTAGGTCACTCATATAACGCGGACCCTCAGCGGAACCCTGGTTTCACATGCGTTCTGCCAGCTAAAGCAGTCCCAGCGCCCCAACTGCACCCCCAACCCCAGAGCATGAAAAATGAAAACCTAAGCCACAAACTGGAACCTAAATCATACACCCTATGCAGGTGTGGTTCCTGGCAAATCCTGCCGCAGCGGAGTCCACGGCAGCACTGGACGTTTGCCAAAATGAGGCCGCTGGTCCATAAAGCATGGACCCCTCACAGCCCTAAGTCCTAAACACGAGTTGAAGGTATATAATGTCTAGATTTCAGCCAATTCAGCAGTATACATATCCCCGTATAGTGCCGTCCTGGTTATACAGCATCATGCGAGGGACCCCATAACACCCGAAACACCCGACAAGACCATAGAAAAATGAGAAGCCTTTGTGTCAGTGCCGGCGAAGGCTACTTGCCAGCATCCCCCTCTCGCCGGTGATGAGATGTCAACCCTGCAATCGGAGATGAGTGCATTGACCAAGCCGGAGACTTTGATGAGGATTTTAGGAACTCGGGCCTTCAGGCTTTGTAAGAGTTTGCGGCATTGCTTAAGGAGCTGAGGAGTGCGGAGTTTTGTTCAAGTTTGAGAAGTTGATGGATTTTGGACATAGTGCAGAAGCCTAAGTCATGAGTAGTTAGTACCATCAGGATGTCGGGATTACCGTGTGGGTTTAGGGTCTGGGTTTCGGGATGTAGGAGAAGAGGCTTGAGGAGGGGAGGGTGTGTATGTATATTCATGTTTTGAAGTTTAGGAGCTGTCTCGGGTTCAGGGGGCTCGTGGTTTCGGGTCTTGGGAATCTGGGACTTGGGTTCTCGGGTTCGCGAAGTTTTGGAGATTCAATTTAGATAGGATACCTAGAAGAGCTGTGAAACGGGTAAAAGTTTGCGCTGACTTTCCGTGGCCAAGTCCAGGGCCCTGACTACCCACTACCCATAGGCCCCATAGTAGTTCCTTTTTGGGATGACCTTATAGACTTCTATAAAGATGAACCCCAAAAAGGAACTAGTTTGGGGCCTTTGGGGACATGCCTGCCAGGAGGGCTTTGCCCATCTTACCTTGATAGTCCCTGCTCTGGCTATGCCGGAGCCTAAACTACCCCGCCTAGACCCTAAAGCGCAATAAGTCATCACCACCATTCGGGTCTTGATCATGAGTACCTCTCCAAAGGCGCTTTCCGGAAGACCACAAGCCTTTAAGCTGTCTAGGGTTCAGGGACCCGAAACGGCACAACCTGCTGCAGAGCTCAGGAAAAGGTGCACGAGAAGTTGAGCAAGAAGAAGCAGAAGAAGGTGACCTGTCGTCCCTGTCTGTGGGTTAGGGCTGTTCCTTATGGAATCATGTGTTTTGAATTTGAGGCGTTTTAGGGTACAGAGTGTGTTGCTTGTAGGGCATTGTTGGGTGAGAGGAGCTTTAGGCTAAAATTGTGTTTGTGCTTGTTGGGCGTGTGTCGGTTTATATGGTGAGTATTCCCAAGCCTGGCTCAGTCATGCTTCTGGTATGGCTTCTGCAGTATGAGCTGAGTGAATATATGTGCCCAAGCGACAAGCGTGCGAGCTCCAGGAAAAGGTGGAAATCCGAGCTGCAGACACTCCTACTTGACCCCAAACCCTGACCCCCATGCAGACCCGAAATCCTATACCTTGAAACCCCAAGAACTTGAGCTCAGGCAGTCATCAAGCAAGTGCGGAAGCGAAAGTTGAAGAAGTCCCTGAAGGACGCGTGGAAGCACAGGCTGGATGACGATGTTTCGGCCTTGCAATCCGACTTGAGTGCATCGACCAATCCGGAGAAGATCCAGAAGAAGTTGAACAAGAAGAAAGCCAAGAAGGACCCTAATCTAGGAACCCTGTCAGGGCTCCTTTTATGAATCATACTATTTTGGGGTTATAGGCCCAGGGTTTCTTAATCAGGTTCCTACATTATTCAAGTCAAGGGGTTGAGAGCTTAGGGTTTAGGGCAAGTTTGGGGTGTAGCAGTTTAACGATCCAGGTAATATGGCAAGGAAGCCAAGAAGGAAGCTTAAAGTTCAGGGTTTAGGGCAAGTTTAGGGATCAAGCTTAAACCTTCTTCTGATTCTTCCCCTACAGTATCAAATGCACGGGGTTTAACCGGGTTTAGGGTTTGGGGATCAGGGCTGTCTATGTGGGTGCATACATGAAAGCAACGGTTTAGGGTTTAGGGTTTAGGGTTTAGGGTCCTGAGGAAGTCATCAAGCGGGCGCGCAAGCGCAACTTGAAGAACGGCCTGAAGAAGGCATGGAAGCAGAGGCTCCATGAGGATTGAGATCACCACGACCCTCATTCCACGGGATCGTCGCGTGAGTCTTGTGGCCATGGTGGCAACATGTTGCCAACATCGATTTTAATTTTAACCCTAAACCCTAAACCCTAAACCCTTTTTTGCCCATACTTCTTTGAACCTCACCACCCTAAACCGAACCCCCGACCGGCCTGCAAGTCGCTTTCTGCCAAACATCCTAGGTAAATCCTAGCAAACCTCCGACTCCGAAGCCCTAAACCCTAAACCCCGTAAATCTTAGACTCTAGATTTTAGCAGATTTAGACGGCGGCCCGAATGGGCTCGCTGTCTTTTGGCCAAGTGCGCCCAGAAGCTTAGAGTGCTGCCAGATCCCTTCACATAGACTTGTTTAGGGCTCATAGGGTTTAGGATTCAGCATCGCGGATGCAGGGACTTTTGCAGCTTTGGTGGGTGGGTGTATGTCGAAGGATTGAGCTTGTCTCGGGTCGGGTTGGCTGAGGTACAGAGAGGATTTACCTCGCGTGGGTGGCATTTTCTGCACAGGGTTCCTCACATTCTTGTTTCTTGGGGTCGGAGGCCTTAGATTTCTAAACTGTAGCTGACAGATGCAAGGACATGCTTTCTGATGTCTTGACGGGATCTGGCTTGCATTTTGCTCTCAGCATATTCAGTGTCCTGCAGTCACGCGGAGCTCTGAGGAACAAAGGTTCGATTCCCCGAAGCCCTCTAAGCCCTCCCTAAACCCCCAAAAGTAGGTAAAATCATGGCCCAATACCTATAATAGGCTATTATTCTACATACTTCGGGGGTCCAGGTAAAGCCAATTCTACGCAAAATCGTCTGGTGAGCGCCTTGAGATGAGTCGGTCCTATCATCCGTCGACTGCATTGTGGCCGTTCAGATGGGCCAGACACGGCCAGACCCCGTTAAGGACTTCCCCCAAATACTGGAGGCGCCAAACATGTCGAGGGCTCTGATTTTGGGGTCGAGGGCGGGAAGGCTTCAAAGGATTCAATTTCCTAAACCCTATACCCTAAACTTAATCTGTAAGGTTTATGAATTTGTGGTGTTTTGGTCTAGGGCCTCTGGCATTTCAGGTTCGACGCGGTAGGGTCCAGAAGGGTTCCAAAAGCTTCACACTGGGGTCGGAAGAATTACGAGAATATGGCATTCTGGTCACTACTAGAACTATACATCCCAAAGCCCTGTTCTAACAATGAAGGCCTCTATCTGTAGATTCGTGCTTTCAAGATCCAATGTGGTGCCCTAGGTGAAGATGGGTCCTTTGTCATTGAACGGTGGCGTTCCAAGAAAGCCCAAAAGCTCTCAATTAAGCAAGCACCAGACAGCATAGGCTTCATAGTAGTTCCCTTTTGGGATTCCCTTATAGGAGCCTAAAAATGAAACACAAAACGAAACTACTACTGTTGATGATATAAATCCTGCATTATCCATAATAAGGAATATACCATAATTCCCATAGTTTAGGGTCCTTAGGGTAATGCAGGATTTATATCATCAACCGTATGAACAAGGATCTGCTACCTCAACCCGACACCCTATGTCCTCGGCCCGAGTCCTCGAAGAAGGAGATTCTTTGCCTCGCCTTCAACCAGGACTCCCAGGTTCAAGGTTTACGGTTTTAGGGTTCACGGTTTGGGGTTTAGGGTGGAGTATTCTGACTTTAGGGGTTATGATAGCTGCGGACCCTTCAGATCGAAAGGGATGTTGTTGCCTTGTGGACTTACGCTGTATTCTGTGGCTTTTGAATTTGGTGCCACTCCCAACATCAGGAGCCGGAGATGCTACGCCACACACCTTTAGACCTCTAAAGCCTAGCAGCCGCGAGCGAGTATCATGCGACTGGGACCAGGTTTTATGCGCTGATCTCAAGCAACCTTGAACCCTAAACCCCGAACCTTGAACACAAGGCGGGTTTAAGCTTTGGGATTCGGGGTTTAGGGTTCCGAGGCCTTTCAGGCGTGGACTGTTATGCCCTTGGGAGCCCGTGCGGTGCTGGCCCTGCCGAGAAATACCGGGAGCCGAAGCCAGAACGTGATTGAGCAAAGGAGGGGTTTGGTAAGAACGAGAATCCCAACAGAGGAATCAGAGAATGCCAAGCCCAATGAGACTAATTGCCATTATGGATGCATGTGTCCTACTCTCCTCGAAACAAATATTGGGCTCTTGTTGAGAAACTCATGAGTTGGAGTTGCGTTAGAAAGGAAACCATTTCGTGATTGCTACTGTAGATGCTAAACCCCATAAGGCTCGGATGGAACCACGAGAACCTTAATTCCCAAGGCCTAACGAATCCCTGAAGCTCACGGCCTGAACCTTAAACGTGCTATCCCTAAACCCCTGGAACGCCCTGACCCTTGCCCAGAGGGTCCAAGTACCCAAATAGCAAGGTTTTAGGTCCCAAAATCCATACCCTGAATGCCCTGAAACCCTAGTATTTGGGTACTTGGACCCTTAGGGTTGTGCATCAGTGAGGATGGCTCTTGTCTCGCGATCGGCCGAGCGAGAGGTCTCACCAGTCAGATTATTTCGGAGAGTGGGGAGCAGGGAGGGTGTCCGGTTCAAGGTTTAGGGTTCGCGGTTTGCCTCTGAGAGTTATTGGGGTGCCTTGTTTAGTGGTCCTTATAATGCGGATCCTATGTTGCGGTGTCTGTGAGTCTATATGTTCACATTGGGGTCCTTGATGTTCTGAAGCTACCACGTCTCTGCACTGCGTCGATAGTTTTGCAGTTCGCTCAACTTGGAGGTTGAAGTTTAGGGCATTCCGGCTTGTGCGTGCTTAGTCCTGACCTTGAGATAATGATCGGGGTATAATGATGTGGGGTCTAGTAGTTGTGAGGTTTCCATATTGAGGAGGTCAGTCTTGAAGCATGTTGGGGATTCTGGTTTGGCAGCGTTCGTTTGTTTTTTCTTGTATGGGTTTAAGGTTTACGGTTGAGGCTTTACCAGCCTAAGATTCAGATTTAAACCTTCAGGGGTTTATTTGCAGAGAGGGCGGCAAAGGCAAAAAGCCTTGGCATCATCATCACAATGCTTCATCATCCGGTATGAGATCCAGATGTTTCACTCTCACTCGCAGAATAACGCAGAGGGCATCGCTGCCGGCAAGCGTCACTGTTGTTTTTTTTCCGTTGGCGAGGCAGCCGCAAACGTTGCGCATGGTCGCTGGTTTCAACGTTCAGAGAGAGATTCGTTGGTGTCCAGAAAACCCTGCGCATGACCTCTCACCTCCGTTTGGTTCCACGCTTGCCGCATCGATGAGCTCGCATCAGGATATCCATACATGATAATGATGGCTCTGAAGGCAGAACCCTCACAGTACGCTTGTCTTGTTCCAGATATGTGGCCTCAGATATGTCTGCATCTCACAAGCCGTAGGTCCACTCGCAGTCTTTCAGGTCCAAAGGCACCACAACCAAAACCAGTTTTGCACAAAACCCAAACACTAAACACAAAAGTCGAATCAGCAATGACCAGACAAGCCCAAAGCCTGAACCCAACACACAAAGTTTAAAAATCATATCACAGAACTCCATCCTAGTGCACACACAACACCGAGACCGAGTTCCGATGAGCACGTGTATGGAAAGCCTTGAATCGGATTCCTAGATCCTTAAACCCTGAACCCTACCTTGTAACTAGTTCCCCCCCCCCAACTTCTGGCACCGACCTATCTGCCAAGAAAGTTCTCTGAACACCGTATACAGGGCGTAATTGGTCGTTTCAAGACGACGACGTCTTGGGCCTCAGGTTTCGACATCTTCAGCACTGAAACTGCTGCGCTTCTTCACAGAGAGGACTGAGGTTTTGTCTTTTTGTTCTGTTAGGTTCGGTAGACTTCGTAGGTTCGGTTTAGAGTTTACTTCGGATTTAGGTTACAGGTTAGGCTCCTCAAGCCGTAAAGGGGAAGCCCCAAACCCTCAAGTCAAAAACTAAAATGTCCGCTCCGCAACTGACAGCCCAACTCCCATGAACCCACAGATCGCACCGGAACAGGCCAAACCCTGCCTAAATCCTCCAGCCATCCTCCTTAGCCCTGGGGCCCCACACCTTACACCTGATTAAGCCTGAAGCTCTACAACTTCCAACCTTATAGATCTTAAACCCTGAGCGGGCGGCGGGCTTAATCCAAACCTATAACGAAGCAGAGCCTCGAAAGGACTGTGGCATGGTCCGGCTAGTGGAGGCTGCGGCGCAGGGATTTCCTGGGGCTTGTTCCGACGAGGAGTAGCTTATTCAATGGTTTCAACCACAAGCCCACTACATAAACCCTAACTGCCTAAACAGGGCTCCAGGATTTGGGTCTTAAAGGTAAGGTTTTAGGGTGATTCAGGTTAGGAAGCGTTAACCTACCCTGAAACCTATATCAACCTAATCCTGCCAGATGCTCTTCCGCACCTCCTTGGTCGCTGTAGTCAGCTTCAGTCGATCGAGGCAGCTCACCATGCGCGGCCCTCAGCCGACTAAGGGGTTGAGCGATTGCCCACAGCCCAACTGAAGGGTTTAGTGGTGATGTTGAGAATTTCGCCAAGGGTTTAGTGCCGATGTTGGGGACTTCATGCCTTCCTTCGCTTCTTGCGAGTGCCTCAGAGTTCGGGGTTTTGCACGAACACTTCTTGGAGCTATTCGTTGGCTGTAGGGTTTCCATTTTGAAACTGCGAGTTTGATTTGGCCGAGGTGACTGCAGAAGAAGTGGGGTCATAGGAAATAGCGGCAATGTTGTCAGCTCAGGGGTCGGAGTAGACATGGAGGTGGTAGCATACCGACTTGGGTTTAGGGTTTTAGGGTTTAGGGTTTTGGCGATCGCAATATTTCCAGATATAGTTACAGTAAGAAAGACCGACCTACACATTGCGGAGGGATGCCGGGTTGAATGGACTAGTCCAGTCAGTTTGGAAATAGTCCCAGCTATGCAGGTAAATAGATCAGTGCCGGTGTGGCAACAGCGTTGACTAGGTGAAGCTACGGCCATGATTGTTGCTATGATTAGTAATATAGTTATG